TTCCTTTGGTTCTAAATTTTTATTCTGTATATTGTTGGCCCTGTAGTTGTATTTAGACTTCCCTAGATGCTCGTGACTTGTGACACCCTGGTCGGGCTGTGTTGGGTTGTAAACTTCGTTAATTAATGTCCTTAAGTCTTTTCTTTGCTATTCATTTATGTTTAACTACTTTGAAAGGGGCCCATTGGGTTAGTTGGCTGGCTTTGTCTTCACGAGAGGTGCCATCACGACTAGTGCGGGGTTTTGGGTCGTGACAGCCATTGCTTTTCCATAAGCAACATCTACTCCATGTGATCTTTTCATTTCTAAAATGACAAACCTAGGCTTTACTTCATTAGCTATGTCCCTTAAGTTTTCAATCATGTAATCTCTAATCACATTTGAAGTTGCTTGTCTTTTATTTGACTTTCTAATGTCAACCGAGCACTCATGTGATCTCTGAAATTTAACTACTTTAAATAGTGTTGATTCCTTAATTCTTGAACCTCGAACAGTCCAACTACACTTTTCGTCAGTACATACCAAAGAGTATCTTGTATTACTTGACCTTTCAACATAGAACTCAAAGTGCTCCTTAATAGCTGCTAAGCAAAAACATCTGATCATAGCATTTTTGTCTTGAAAAACAGAACCGAGTTTTACATCATCCAATGATGCATTTTCCTAGAGTATTATTGATGGGGATTCTTTTTCCTTTCCTTTTCCTTTCCTTTTTCTTCCTTCAATAGTGACTAGTGATTCGATGTGTTCATCTTCCACAGGATTTACAATTACATTTTTCATTGTCATGTCATAAATTGACATCTAGTGCTCTTCTATTTCAGATTTCACCATCAGTTGCTCTTCCTGAACATATGTGTTTCTGTGTAATAATTGTTGATTGTCAAATTCCATTATTGCATTCCTTCTGGTGGTTGATCTGGTATTTCTAAAATTTCAACAACAAATTTGGAACCTTTATAGTATGTATCGTTTTTTAAGAGCATCATACACGAGGTAAGATGTTCATCATTTGTAACTTGTATTCCCTTAGCAGTACCTAGGTTAATATTAAGCCATACTTTTGCTTCAAACTTGTCGTTGTCAATCTCCATAACTTGGAAAATTTTCCTCATGAATTGTTCAAATGTAGTCCCATCATTTATAAGGAGAAGCTTTGTTTTATGGTCTAAGTACTTGTAATCTGCTGTCCATTTCCCATCAAATGCGATAACCAAGAAATTTGTGTGCATCCTATATTTAATGAATCAAATAATTAGGTATTTAGAAGTTACATTGTTAAAAAATAAACTCCAATATAATACGCCGGAAATACTTGAATTGTTTATATTAATTGAGCAAATTCCAGCTTATTATGCTGGGGTTCATGGAGTCGCACACAATTCCAGTATAATATACGGGAAGTGTCTAAAGTTTATATACTAAATTAACAAAGACCAGTTTCTTATACTGGTGTTTTGTTCTATACCATCTTTTTTACAATTTTTATAGTAGTTTGAATAAAAGATACTTCCAGTATAATACATTGGAGTTTTATGAGTTTTTCATATTAATTCATAAAGCTCCAGTATACTATACTTGTGAATGAGTGTTATTATTTTGAATCACATATATTCCCAGTATAATAACCTGGAAAAATCTTAGATTTTGACATTCATTCAAAAATCTCCAGCATATTATACTGGCATTATATTGTGTGCCCTTTTATTCTGCAGACTTTATTGATTTGACATATAGTAGTTTGAATGAAATATACTTCCAGTGTAATACATTGGAGTATTTTGAGTTTTGCAAATTAATTCCAAAACCTCCGCTGTACTATTCTTATGTTTTGTTCATTTTAGGAATCAAGGACTGTAAAATTAATTTATTAGATATTTCCAGTATAAACATTCCCAGTGTAATAAGCTGGAAAAAGCTTAGATTTTGACATTCATTCAAAAATCTCCAGCATATTATACTGGCGTTATATTGTGTGCCATTTTATTCTGCAGACTTTATTGATTTGACATATAGAAGTTTGAATGAAATATACTTCCAGTGTAATACATTGGAGTATTTTGAGTTTTGCAAATTAGTTCGCAAACCTCCGCTGTATTATACTTGTGTTTTGTTCATTTTTGGAATCAAGCACCGTATAACTAATTTATTAGATATTTTCAGTATAAAAACCTGGAAGTATGTCAGGTTTAGATATTAATTTAGAAAGGTCCAGCAAATTATACTGGCGTTATGTTCTGCAAATTATACAGATTAAAGCATTAAAATCAAACTAGAAAATTCGAAGAATGAAAAAAAAAATTATGATTCTACACACAAATATATTACTTATACTTTGAATTTGTCTCGTTTGAATTACAAATAGAAGAATCTAGAATAAATTCAAACAAGATAAATTCAAATAACTAGACAAATACTTGAGAGAGCTTACTTCGATTTCGAGATTCACGCCGCAAGTTTGAGAGAGCTTAATTCGAAGAACAATATGATGTTGTAGCTTAATTCGATTTGCAGATTACCGCCGTAAGTTTGTTCTAAAGAAGAATATAAGGTCAAGTCGCGTAAATTTGATAAACAGCGTAAGGGTATTTTAGTCAAAAAATTGTTACCGTGCTAATTCGCGGCTAAATATCTGGCCATTTTTAAATTTTTCGCCATCTTGACCCGCCCAAATTCAGCCCAACCTGCCCATTTGCCACCCCTACTTCAAATCAATGACAATTATATCCTCTGATTGGTCAAGCTCCGTAACCACGTAATGCCTGAAGAGTACGGTATACAACAGTCACATATACAGGTTTTAGGCAAAGGAGCATATGGTCAGCCACACTTTTGTTTATGAGAAACCTAACTCAACACAACATGACATGTTGATCCGGTCTCAAACATTACAGTGAATCTTAAATGGATTGAGAGACTAAAATTGGTGTTAATCTGAGATTAGAATAGAGGGATAACACAAGCAAGTCAGTTAGTACCGAGATAATCACTTTATTGCATTAAGCCACAAACAATCAAAACTCATAATGCAGTCCACACAGGACTATCCTGGGCTAGATTCTTGAGCATTCTCAATATTGTATAATGGAAAATAGTGCCCTTGTGACTTTAAAGAGGTCATCTGGTTCAAAACAAGTTTATCTCAGGATTATAATCCTGGAAATTAAACCAGGTTAGATAATCCACCTTCTATATGGGATAGGTAATCCCATGATTTTGATATAAATTGTACCCTGATTTTGTCTAATACCCACAACCAAACTCTGGATAAGTTTAAGCCCAAATTTTATACTGAAATAACCCCACTAATCGCTGTAACCAAACAGCCCCTATAGTGTATGATATCCAACTTTGTGTTCTTGGAGATTCATGCAAAAGGATTCATCAGACACTAAGGTGCCAGACTATGTTTCTTAAAAAAAAAAGAACGGCAACAACTTCACTCCTTCCTCCTATAATAAATTGAGTGAGAGCCCAAAAGAAGAGGCTAGTACCCTCTAGCGAGTTAAAATTCACACCAGTGGACTAAAAAGCTTACAGCAGAGGCTTCAGTTCAGTATGGTTGCAGAATAGCCCTCTTAAAAGGAAGAAGAATAAATCGTGCAGTTGAGCTCCCAGCCTCCCACGAAATTGCTTTCAATCTTATAATAGAACAACTACACCAGCTATCTTGTATGATTTGTTTGGTCAAGTCGGTGAGTCATTAGTTAATAATATGCAACCAAGAAGTACCACTTTGTCATTGTCATACAACTACCTCCTTTATTTCTTCTCATACCCAGATTTAACAGCCCTTGCATCTGGGACCAAAATCAATGCGGTTCTCTGTGTATTAGGATAAAGTAACTCAGAATGAATTTTAATGAACAAATTCCTGACTTTTTCAAAGCACAGTCTTCGAATCACTGAAAAACATTAATAAGATGGACCACTAAATATTATCTAAGATTATGGACTTCCCAACAATTTTAGAAGATGACTTCCTTTGACGTCAATAAGGCAAATTCATCTAATGTATAACCATAAAAACCAAACCAAAAAGAAAAGCACGGAGAGTAACCACAGAAAGAGACATGTAGTGAATATTTGCTCATGTAGTGAGTATTTGCAAAAAAACAAAAGATTCAAGTGATCTCAGCAAATATCCTCAAAAAGTGGATATGCTAAATAAGTACAATAACAAAAAGGACATACAGCTAAACCAAGGCTGCTAGGCAGAAGGCTTTAATTGCTGCCACCAAAAGGCTGTTTATCACTTTTGCAAAAAGGAAAACCTGCACAATGCATTAGAGTTGGAAATTTTGAACTCATTAACATTTGAGATGAAAATATAAAACTGCAAAAAATGAAACTTGATATCTAAAAATAGCAACAAGGACCATAGAAGACGAAGGGAAAATAGAGCTTATTGGTCCATACTTTGGATTCACAAACTTTGGAAGTAGTTATAACATATAGTATATTATACTTTAGAAGTTAATGATTTGTCAAGTTTGTGGGAGTTTGTTACTGAAGGACTAAAACAAACATTTAAAGTAGTTGAAGGTTAAATGTGCATAGTTGGGTATCACAAGGACCAAAATCAACCTATACCAATTACTGAGGGGCGAAAATGCAACAACAACAACAACCCAGTATAATCCCACAAGTGGGGAGGGGCGAAAATGCAATTTCACCAAAAAAAATTCTAGAGTTCAAATCTTCATAACACACATGAATTGCATATGACCATCATAGAAGTGAAGAAAAGCCAAGTTTCGCCACAGATATCTCTAAGTAGACAAAGTTTCTCCAAGGCTTTGTTTTTTCTCGTCCATTGATATCTCACTTTTTTTCTGTGAAGTGATTGGACAGGTGCAAGAGGAGTTAGTTTCTTATGTAGTAGAAGAAACTAACTCCTATTGAGTGCTAGAAATGACAAACAACATAACACAATGGCGTGGTCATAGTTCTCTTTCTACTTATATGTGAAGAAAGGAAGAGGACATTTCATGATGATGTATTGTGAACAACTGAACATTTATGTGAAGAGTTAGGGGATCGATTCTCCAAGTATGCATCCCTTCCTTTACACAGAATATGGAACAATTCACAATAAGACAATGCCATAATTTAGAGTCATAGTCATCATAACCTAATCCATCTCACAGTAATATAATACAAGAAGTCTAGAGCTGTATAAAAAGTTAAAAACATCACTTCTTACTTCTTTGACTCTTTTTATGCCGTCATCAAACAGCATATCCCATGCTTCACATGTTCATTTTCCCGTCTTCTTCCAGAAATGGCTCCAAAGTTGGTGTCCTAACAATGTCAAGGTTCTCATGAACTTCAAAAATGTTTGCATAGGGGAGCTTGTACCTTCTTGAACCAGGCACCGAGACAATCACTGAATCACCAATACTCTCATTAATGAGACAATAATTCTTTTGTGAACCATGCTTGCTCCCACATTAGAATCAGATGATGGGCACGAAGAGCATCAGAACAAACCTTTATGTATCATTGTCAAGCAAAATCTTATCCAAAATGGAACATACATTACGAAGATCAGTAACAAACTTTGCCACAAGGATTCCCCAAGTTTCAAGATCGACATCACCTGAAGCAGCCAGTGGAAGCACCCTTAAAACTTCTGCCTCGCATTCAGAGTCAAGAAGCACCTTGATTAAGATGGAATAAGTAGATTTGTTTGGGAGACACCCTTTTTCAAGCATCTCTTCTAGAATTCTAATGCCTTCCTTTGCATTTCCAGCTTTGCAAAAACCATTGATCAACATGTTGTAAGTAAAAGCATTGGGAATGCAACCCTTGTCCACCATGTCATCCCACAACCTCCCGGCTTCATGCAGCTCTCCTCTCTCACACATCCCTGCAATTAGCATGTTATATGTCAAAACACTAGGACTCGTACCCTTCTCAAACTCGTCAAACAATTTCCTTGCTTCCCGAATCTTTCCCTTCTTACAAAGCCAGTGAATAAGTGTGCTCGATATAGCATTATCTGGAGTACAATTCTTTACCAACAATTTCTTCCACAAATCACACGCCTCCTCAACCTTTCCCTCTTCACACAAGACATCAATCACCTTACAGCAAAGTGTTGAGCTTGGTATGTACCTCTTATCCAGCATATCATTAAGCAAATTAACTGCTTCACCGGACTTCTTTTCCTTGCAAAATGCCTCGATCATCACTCCATACGTCACTTCATTCGGCCCAACACCATTCTCCTCCATCTCATCCATTATCTTAACTGCATCAATCAACTTCCCTTGCTTAGCAAATCCATGCATCAAGATAGTGTATGTCGTTGCATCAGGCAACCAACCTCTGTCCACAATTTCATCAAACATCCTCTTGGCCCCCACTAAATCATCAATTGATACATAACAACCCAAAATGGTTGTGTAGCTCACCACATTGGGAACTATTCCCATCACAGGCATCTCATCAAGAACTCGAATCGCACTATCAATATCGCCTTTCTTACACAAAGCGTTCAACAAGATATTACAAGTAAACACACTGGGCATTATATCCAACTTTTTCTGGCAATTCTTAAAAATAGCGTAAACCAAATCATACTCTTTGTTTTGTACTAAAGCATTCAACAAAGCGTTAAATGACCTAATTGACCTCTGAATTCCAAATTTTTCAATACGCAGAAAGGTCTTAAGGGCCAATTTGGGCTTACTAGCAATCCCATAGTTCCGAATCATAGTAATAAACAAACCTTCCCCACATTGGATGCTGGACTTTTGCAATTCGGTTAAAAGGGTCTCTGCTTCATCAAACGCGCGCGCACGGCAGAGTTTGTTGATGATGGAGTGGTAGGTTTCGTAATTATGGGAAAAACCAGGGTGGAAGTTGCCAGCATGGTGGAAAATTTGGAGGGAAAGGTTTGGATCATGCTGGGATTTGATGAGTGTAATGAGTGTTTTAGGGGAGAGGTATCGGGGCCAGGGTTTGATGGGGGGTGTGACAGTGTAGGACTGGAGGAGTTCCGATTTGGATTTGATGGTAGAGAGGTGCTGGTATGACGGGTGGGTGTTAAACGGGTCGGCGGCGGTGGTGTCGGCGGTGGTTGAGAGGAAGTGCCTGAAGTTGTTTGAGTTGAGAAATGTGATGTAGACCCACCGTCGGTGACCGGAAACCTTTGGGGAAATTAACATGGAGAAAACTCGGACAATACGATGTTTCGATGTTGGCTTCTGTGTCTACCCGTCGCTCCGCTACAAACTTCTTGCCTGTACATTTCTTCCCTCTAATATTTTTAAAATTACTCTTACCCGCCTCGTTCTTTTTGTTTGGTGACATTATAGTATTATACGTCTATTCTTTTCACTCCCAAAAGACCTTGACCTGTTTTCACATTAAGAGAAGGCAGAATACATAGGCAGTCCCTAAACTTGGCAATATTTTTTACTTGAACACTAAAACTAGTAATAGTTCCTATTGAACACTTAAAGTGAAGATAAATTGTGTCAATTAGACATAAATTTAGCAGCTCCAAACAAACAAAATGCGTGTAAATCACTTGCTTGTGACGTGGCACATAAGACCAATGAAAAGAGAACACGTAGCAAACTCCAAAAAATAAGAAAAGCAAAAAAAAATATGGAAAAAGCAGAAGATAATGCCTCTCACGCGCCTTAACAGTGGGGTGTTACATACACTATGACATGTCAGCTATTCGTGTCTAATTAACACAATTTATCTTCACTTTAAGTGTTCAATAGGTACTATTACTAGTTTAAGTGTTCAAGTGAAAAATATTGTCAAGTTTAGGGGGCCACGTATGTATTCTGCCTTAAAAGAATGATAGAAATTATTGAAATAAGTCTATGTGTTAGCTTAATCATATACTTTCACAATTGTTAGTTGCCTTTTTTTTACTTTCCTACCAACATGATAGTATAATTCTGCTTGATAAAAGTGAGTGATTGATCCTAATTTTCGTACTATGTAAGATGTGTAGTGACGGGTGAGATATTCCTTTTCAAAAGACTACAACATTGCCTCACCTCTTCTTATTATCTCAGCCATAGCCTCATCGGCGTATGGGTCAAAATCCGACTGAGGAAATTCAGTACGAAGAGGTGATTATCATGAGTTATTTGTGATTATCATGAGTTATTCGTGATTATCATGAGCAATTTGGTCAAGGACGATTAGTGATTAACAGAACGAGTCGCCAAACAGTCAGTCACAGCCGAGGTCGAGTATTATGAGCAGTAGTAACGGCTAGTTTTGTATTAGGATCCTTATAGGAAATATTCCGTTGAATATGCTCTGTATTTGTACTTTTAGGGTCCTTTGAATAATGTCCCATATAAATGGAATAAGAGATAAGACAAAAGGCAGGTAATATTCTAAGTGATAAGAACTCTTTTGAAAAGTAAGCTCTCTAGATAAATGTCACACCTCCCTTTTACTTACACCCGCAAGGGTGTAAAGGAGTTTTTCCAATTGAAGGACAATCAGAACGGGATTTATTATTAATATTCAGAGTCGCCACTTGGGAGATTAATGGTGTCCCAAGTCACCGGTTGAATCCCGAACCGAAGAAATTATTGACTCTATTAACAGTCCGCGAACCAGGAATCCGGATAAGGAATTCTGTTAACCCGGGAGAAGGTGTTAGGCATTCCCGGGTTCCGTGGTTCTAGCACGGTCGCTCAACTGTTGTATTTGATTTATCTAATTTCAAAACATGTTCTAGCTTATGTGCTTTTTATTCGTACCCGCTTTTATTTTTATTTTAACAAGAATTGCAACGTCGTGAAAATGCGTCTCGAACCACGTCGCACCAGTGCACCCGTGATTGTTAACACATTTCGACTTCGTTGAGATTTGGATTTGAGTCACATAAATGTGCACCCGAGTTTAGGGAGGTAACTTTATTAAAATACGCGCTTAAAGGGGCTAACGCATTATTGCCTTTGGGGAGGGCCGTGAAATTCGCTAAGCGGCCTATCCCGAAATCTACGTTTTATAAACAGTTATCGAAGACCCCGCAATTTGGCGAGGCCCGTGTAATTTTATTCATTGAAGGGCAATCCTAAAGCAACTATATTTTCATTCGTCTCTAACAGCACAAGAAAAGTCCTAAAATTTATTATTGAACTGAAATAAATCAAATGGTAATTCTGTGTCAAGCCCACCCATTGGGCTCTGAGATGAGCCCAACGAAGGAGTACTATACCCAAGCTCTACTAACAAGCTGTCAGTCAGGCCTAGGCCCAAGTCCAAACGTGAGGGGACTTAGCATGGACTTGGGCCCTCGTATCAGACCTCTTGAGGCCCAAATGTCCTGTGAATAGGCTATTATACAACTCTAAGAATTCTCACAAACGGGTTAATTAATTCAAATCAGTCCAGTTGATGATGCATGATTTAATTTAAGTAAAACTACTGATGTTAACCACTGACATGCAATTATTTTTTTTCTATGTTGAAATAATGAGCTTAAGGAAACGAAACAGATGACATCTAAACTAGTATGCTGATATTAACTACTGTAATACAAAAACTGTTTGAAAGCACATTTTAGATTTGAAATGGAGATTGAAACGGGCTGATCTCTCAATCAATTATGAATTCAAACCTATTCTGATTTTCTATGTTTAACAGAGTGCTAAATTGAAACCAGTACCAAACTATGCTAATTCTACATCTGATCGCCACAAATTAACAGTTCAAAACAGTCCCGTTAGGTACAAATTACACAGTCCGAGTTTCATTTAAACATAGATTTAAGCAGACTTCATTATGCAGTACATATCATTAATGTCTACTTAATTACAAATGCATCGTCTAGCAAGCAATTAACTGAATATTTTTCGTTTCATGCCCAATCTCGATACTACATCAATTTTGGAGTCCAAGTGTGTGTACCTGGTGAACAGAATGGGGGAAAAAGAAGAGAGGATCAGCAGAGCTCAGAGAGTCAGCAAAGGTAATCCAACAGTAACACAGCAATCAACACAGCCAATTTTTCAGCCCAGAAGTGACTGAGTAATTCCAGAAATATTTTAAACCAAATGAAACTGATGAATCAACCCCAAAACAGCATCCAAATACCCAGAAATGAACACAGGAAAGCAAACACTCAAACTAAGATCACAGCTGACCCGAATCTCCCAAATCCACTGCCTAGATGACTCAAACTGTCTTCAATCCTCAAATATTGAACAAAACCCAAGGAAATTCAAGTAGCTTTCATCCTATACGAGCTAGGGAATTGAATTTAATGATCAAATCTGAAACTGACCTAAGTAACACTAATGTAACAGTAATTTTTTTTTTTGGACTTTTCTATTAGATTTCTATTGTTTTTGGATTTTGAAGGTTTGAATTTCAAATCAGATCTGAAATTGGAGAGGACGTTTTGGGGAGGGGATTTTGGAGCTCCTAAACTTGGAATTTTCAGGCCTCCAAACTTGTTAATCAAGGCAAATGAATGCCTATTTATAGATGAACTTAGGGTCCAGCTTCAGATTTTCCCTTTACCCATTAGTCCCTATTTTAATTCTATTTTTACCCTTTATTTTCTGACTTGTTACACAAGTAACTACACCCATTTTATCGAAATCTATACTAAAGTCCATCCTAGAAGGTTCTATGCCCATTATAATTCCTATTCTATCCTTACCTTGGTTCTAAAATTACCAATCTTAATGAAACTACCCTTTTCCATGCCTAAACTACCCTTTGAACCCTCTTGGAATTACTGAGCTAAACCAGACCATCCTAAACTAAAACCTAACAATGCTAATTAATGCTAAACACTGAATTAAGGCATTACTAATGATAACTACTGATTAAACGAGACTAACTGACCAGACTAACTCAAATCAAACATTAGATTAAAAATTAAAATCAGCAAATCCTAAACAGAATTAACTAAGACGGCTAATAAAGAATTAAGGATTATAACAATGAACCATAAACTGAAAACAAACATTTAGCAAGACGGATTCAAAACGAAAAAATTAAACCAAAACCTAAAATACACAAAACGGGATTAAATCAACCCAACAAAATTAAGCTAAAGCTAAGAACAATTACAAGAGCAAGATGAAAACACATACAGAATCAAAGACAGAATCGAACAAAACTTACTGATTTTGAGCATTCGACTGACTATGGGACGAACTCTGACCAGCTATTGTTGTTTGAATCCTCCGGGATTCTTGACACGTAACATCCCTAATCGTGTGTTTCAAAAGAAAACACGTGATTAGGGAAATTACGGTCCAAAATCCCCAAGATTTCTGAGTTAGGGTTCTGCCGGAATTTGGGATTTAGAGTTTATAATGTTCCGGGCAGATTCGAGGGTTTCTAGGTATGAGTTAATGATGAGGGAGGTCTGGTGGTTACAGGGGTAACGATTTTGGGAGGATTTGGGGACGGCGCCGCCTTACATGGCGGTTGCGGCGCTAGGGCTTGAATTATTTGAGACGTTTGGGTGATGTTTGAAAGAAATCGATGGCAGATATGGAACGGGGAGGTGAAGGCGGTTATGTGGTGTTAATTTGGGGTGGTTTGGACGGAGTTGTATCATGGCCGGAAAACTTCGATCTAATATTCGAAGCTTTGGGGTGGAATTCGAGGAGAAATAAGGCTAGATTCGTGACGAGGAAGATGAGATGAAGAAGTGGTGTAATTTTCAGGTGGTTTGGATGATCGCCGCTGGCGGAGGCGATTTCCGGCCGGCGGCAGGCGGCGGAGGACGGCGAGGTTAAGTGTCTCTGATGAACAGGTGAGAGAGACGGGAGGGTGAGGGGGTCTGAGGGGGGTAGGGTAGTGTTAGGACATATTTATACTACAAAACCTAGGCAGTTCTCGTCCGTTGGATCAAAAGGATCGAGGGTTGTGATTAAATTAGGGAAAACGGGGTCGTTTTGGTAGGGTGTGGAGGCTGGACCGGGTTGGGGTGATTTGGGCTTGGACTGGGAGACCGGGTTTGGGAGAGGGGTCTTTCTTTTGGGCTGATTAATTTGACTGAAATGGCCCAATTTGGGTTCTATATTAATCAATCCTCTTTTAATGCCTTCTTTTTTTCTTTCTTTTTTTTCTTTTTTTTTTATTTGTTTTTATTCAGCTCAATTTCTGATTTTCAATTTTATATTTTGATTTTATTAAATGCTAAATTAAAATGTGAACTAAAACACATTAAAACTAAAAATGCAAAAAGGACCATTTTGTTATTTTCCTCTTCCTAAAAATAACTCAACTACTAATTAATCCTAAAAATGTGAAATTGAATTCTAAATGCAAATGCCAAGTATTTGTATTTTT